CTCACAACTTTAATGCCAGTAGCTACTTCGTGAGCTACTGGCATTAAAGTTGTGAGCAGGTGATTTGGCTACTGTGTAAATTAGTCTGCTCTGGAGCCCTCCTTCCTGAGCTGAGACAACAATGTGTGAGCAGGAGGCTAAAAAACTGTGAGCTAGCTCACACTAACTCAGCTTAGAGGGAACACTAGTCTCAGTACGTCGAAAGTATTCCTAAATTTAAAAAGTTCCAAAATGCATTTTAGAAACAAAAATCTTGCAGAACAATTGTTAAAGATACAATTATATAAATTTCAGCAATAAAATACTAATTTCCCATCCTGGAAAACAAGGGACCAAAGCTCTCAGAATTACTAGTGTTAGATTGTTCCAGATCACTGTATTTGCATGTACTCGTCACAGAAGGGAAGGTACTGGAAATCTTATTGACTACTGGAAATCTTATTCAGGGTGCCCACCCCCGGTTGTTCTAGGACATCACCGGGTATTGGCTACAGACAACTTTTCCTAACCAAGAAAGCTAGAAACTTGAACTTTAAGAAAAAATTTAAATGAAAACTGAGGCTTCTAGGACCCAGCGTCTATTCAGTGCAACAGCTACCGGGATGACTTTGTATTTGGGAAAATGTTTACCTCTGGCAGTTTGGTGTAGTGGTTAAGAACGGTGGACTCTAATCTGGAGAACCGGGTTTGATTCTCCACTCCTCCACAGGCAGCCAGCTTGGGTGACTTTGGGTCAGTCACAAGCTCTCTCAGAGCTCTCTCAGCCCCACCTACCTCACAGGGTATCTGCTGTGGGGAGAGGAAGGGAAGGAGATTGGAAGCCACTCTGAGATTCTGAGTGAGGGGCAGGGTATAAGTCCAGTCTCTTCTTCTTCGTTGCTTATTGCTGATGATCAGCCTCAAGAGCTGAGCGAGCAGTTAGGGGTGGAGGCAGCAGTGGAAATAGCACAACGGCACGATTTCAGGGGCCCCCACTTCCAAGTACCCCAGCCATATCCAAAACCTGAAGCCGTTTTTGGGGAGAGGCCATGCCTCAGTGGCAGAGCCTCTGCTTGGCATGCAAAAAGTCCCAGGTTCAATCCCCCACATTTCCAGTTAAAAGGACAAGACAGGAGGTGACGTGAAAGACCTCAGCCTGAGACCCTGGAGAGTCATGAAGTGGGGCTGTAGCTCAGTGGTAGAGCATCTGCTTGGCAGGCAGAAGGTCCCAGGTTCAATCCCCGGCACCTCCAGTTAAAAGGACCGGGCAGGAAGTGATGGGAAAAGACCTCTGCCTGAGACCCTGGAGAGCCATGAAGTGGGGATGTAGCTCAGTGGTAGAGCCTCTGCTTGGCATGGAGAAGGTGCCAGATTCAGTCCCCGGTATCTCCAGTTAGAAAGGACCAGGCAGGAGGTGATGTGAAAGACTTCAGCCTGAGACCCTGGAGAGCCATGAAGTGGCTTAGTGGCAGAGCATCTGCTTGGCAGGCAGAAGGTCCCAGGTTCAATCCCTGGCATCTCCAGTTAAGAGGAACAGGCAGTAGGTGACAGGAAAGACCTCCGCCTGAGACCCTGGAGAGCTGCTGCCAGTCCAAGCAGACAATACCGACCTTGCTGGAGTCCCAGGGGTCTGATTCAGGATAAGGCAGCTTCCCATGTGTTCCCTTCCCCAGGAAGAGTACGATGACATCGTCATCAACAGCGGGCATTAGATGGCCAGGAGGGAGAGAGGATCTTCGTCACCCGGGACACGACCCATTCCACAACGCGACATTCACCCCGTGACAGCCGGCTGTGATTTCCGTAGCAACTGTTTCTTCACTGTGAGCTCGACATGACTTATTTATAGGGGGGGCGGGGGGCAGCTGTGTCGTCCGCCGGGGGGCGGTTTTCTGGGCCCCCCCCCCCGTCCCGACTGGATTGCTTCCCCTCTCTCATTTTTTTGTTCCTGTAGTTTTAAAAGGCTTTCTGTTTGTCGCCGTCTGAAATAATTAAAGAAAATGTCGGGGTGGGGTGGGGTTGGGGAGCAACTGCCACTGCCTTTGAGTTTCTGTTTCCTCCCCCACCCACACACCTCCCCCTTCCTACCGGCTTGAGGAAGAAGAATCCAAGCTCCGTCTCGCCCCCGCTGTGACCACGGCGGAAACCAGAAGCGGGAGCTGGTTCCGAGCCCAGAGTCCGGATTTTTGGGCACCGCCTTGGCTTTAGGCTTAAGAGGCTCCGTTTCTAGTTTGCGGCCCAGTGATACGTTCAACCCCAGCCTCAGCCCCCCAAGCAACGCCTCTCGCAGTATGGATGCTGTGGGGGTCAAAACGTCTCCCCGCTTTCCCCAGTGAAAAAGCCAACAAAGGAGGCTGTTCTGACCACCCACCGTGTGAATCACGTCTTTCCTGGGCTGACGCTTTCGAGGCTTGCTAGAATCTCCCCCTTTCAAGGCTGGGCCGGGAACCCGAGAGCTCAGAGTGGTGGTGGTGGTGGTGGTGGGCAGATGGAGATCTGGGGCTCACCCCTGCTCGGCACGACGAATGCCCCCGAACAGGGCAGGGGAGTTTGCCTTCTCCACGGCCAAATCAGGAGCGGCCATTCGCGATACCTTTTTTCTCCCTCCCTCAAAGTGAATCCCTGTTGTCCCTTGCGTGCTCAAGCGCGATTATTTTGATGGAGGCATCGTTGAACCGGGGGGTGGGGGTTTGACACCCGCTGTGTGGATGCACGAATCCCTGACCCTCTTGACACTTTCTGGGTCCAGCCTCAAGTCACCTTCCGAGCTCCTGCTGTACACTCCCTTCCAATTCACGCTAATACCCTGGTCCCTTTCATATGGATATTGTAGTTCCTTCCTGTTCCTCTTTGGCCACGTTCCCATGGGGGCGGAGTCTGCCTTTGGTCGCCTAACAGCTGCAAGATACGTTCCTCACGTATTCCACGGTGACCTACAAGGGCCCTTCTGTGGGGTACTTCATGTAACAGGGAGACTGGTTCGAGCGAGGGCTCATCCCTGCTCGATGGAACGAGCACATTCTTTAGTTGCCAGGCAACCAAAGTGGCCATGAGAGCTAAGACCCAGGACTCGAGCACCATGCGAGCTCAGTGCCCATTTGCAGTCCTTTGGGTGCCATACTGGATTTGGGGACAGGACTTCCATTTCCTTCGAACCACAGAGGGCAACGGGCATCAAATAGGTGCTGTTTCCCCTTCTGTTTCTTCTCCCCCCCCCCATCACCATTTTTGAAGAGAAGGCGTGGCCTCCTTCCCGTTGCTCTATATCCACAAAAGATTTCTTTCCCCCCCCGAATTCACGAAGGAGATACCAGCCCTCTGGCAGAGCAAAGCTGTTCTTCTCCTAGTTCCTCATAGTCTTCTCAAAGTTTCTAAAGGTCGGCGTAGACCGTTGTTCGTGAATCCCCCCCTCCCCGAGTCCCTAACTTTGTAGGTTGTAAATGGGACAGCCGAACATCTCCTTTTTTTCCTCCCCCCAAATGGGGGGAGTGTTTCCACATTGATCAGTGATCGGCAGGTTCACTCTCTGCCCCATTAACGCAAAGTCGCATCACTCTCGACACCGTACATCGCTTTCTCCATTCGGCTCTGCCAAGGGCTGCCAGCTCCCGTCTCCCCCCTGGGGACGACGGCGTCTCTGAATTCCGCCCACGCCAAGCAGGCAAGGAGGGTGCTCGGTTGCAACGTGGAAAGGAACGAACCGGAAGCCGGTTGGAGTCTCCCCGCACCCATCTGGCAGCAGGACGATCGTTGTGCTGTGGATTTCTGGGGGGGGGGGTAGGGTGAAGCATCGTTGAAGGCCGAACGGACGGAGCACGCCCATCCATCCTGGTGAAGGCAGCGGCTGGGGTCTGCGCTCGACCCCTGCCCACCGCTGGACGGGTTCTGATGGAAACTGCCGGCCGCCCTTGGGAGACTCCAGGGCCCGGCCACGCGCCTTGCGGGGCCGAGTTCGAAACCACCCCCCTGCAGCTTTGGCAGAGAAGAGGGGAACGTTCCAGCGTCGCCTCCAGACTCTCCGACCCCTCCCCGGCGTCTCCTTTGGTGTATCGAGAAGCTCCCGTGTGGTTTCCCTGTGACCCCCCCCCCCCCACTCGCCGTCTGTGACTCGGTTCTGTCTCTTCCTCTCCCTCTCCCTCTTTCCCCCCTCCTCGCTCTGCCCCCCCTCCACGTGTCGATTGTGTGATGTAGGTCATAGACTGAATCAGATTAAAAGCCGTGGAATTGTGTGTGCCTTCCCGTATCGACTGCTTCGTGTTGGGCGGCTGTGGGTGCTGTCGGACAGGGCAAGGGAGCGCCGGAAAGTCAGGCCGCGGTGCCGGAAGGGCGGGCCTAAAGCCGCGATCAGCACTTTCAGTGATGCGGGGCAGGGGAGGATGCTTTGAAGTGGGCACGGCGGGCGGCGGACCAGAGTCCCTGTCGGCCACCAAGGGTCTTGCTGCAACGACCGTCACTCCACACCTCGCCCCCAGCCGTAGGTTGGCAAGGCACCAGAATTGGGCCCCGATGCCTCCTCTTGCTGACTCTATGTCAAAAAGTACACTTTTTCTTCCTTCAGAAAACAATGGTAAGAGTTTCCTGACTAGGAGCCCAGCCAAGAACTGTAGCGGGCACTTAAGAACATAAGAGATGCCAATGTTGGATCAGGCCAAAGGCCCATCCAGTCCAACACTCTGTGTCACACAGTGGCCCGAAATACCAGGGTGCCATCAGGAGGTCCACCAGTGGGGCCAGGACATTAGAAGCCCTCCCACTGTTGCCCCCCACCCGAAAGCACCAAGAAGACAGAGCATCACTTGCCCCAGGGTCCCTATTTATACCTTGTGGCTAATAGCCACTGATGGACCTCTGCTCCATATGCTTAATCTAATTCCCTTTTGAAGCCGTCCATGCTTGTAGCCACCAACACCTCCTTGTGGCAGTGAATTCCATGTGTGAATCACTCTTTGGGTGAAGAAGTACTTCCTTTTATCCATTCTAACCCGACCGCTCAGCAATTTCATGGAGTGCCCACGAGTTCTTGTATTGTGAGAAAGGGAGAAAGGTACCTCTTTCTCCACCTGCTCTTTCCCATGCATAATTTTGTAAACATCGATCATGTCACCCCTCAGTCGTCGTTTCTCCAAGCTAAAGAGCCCCAAGCGCCTTAACCTTTCCTCATAGTTCTAAGCAAGCACAGCAGGCAGAAGGGAGGGCGAGATCTCCTCGGGATTAAGTAGCACTGGGCAGGCTGGGCTTTCAACCTAACCAGATGTGTCTGTTAATCCTCCAACCCTATCCCAGATTAAGCGTCTGAGGGATGTTTAATCCCCTTTCGATGCTTACAGGGCTTTAACGGGGGTCAGCACCGTTCAGCCACGATAGATGTGTCGGTGGTTATTCACCACAATGGAATGGGACCTCCCTGTTCAGAGGCAGCATACCAGCTGCGGGGGGGGGGGCAGATGCAACTGATGGGGGCTTTAGCTTCCGTGTCCCACTCGTGGGCCTTCGAGGGCATCGGTTTGGCTATTGTGGGAAAGGAGGCGCTGCTCTGTTCTCAAGATACACCAGGAGTCATTTGAGCCTAGGTGTAAGAACATAACTGAAGGTAACAGATGTGTGCACAAACATCTGCGTCTTGAGAGCCAGTTTGGTGTGCTGGTTAGGAGCGTGGATTCTAATCTGGGAGAACCGGGTTTGATCCCCCACATGCAGCTAATGGTGTGACCTTGGGTCAGTCACAAGTTCTTTCAGAGCTGTTCTCTCAAGGACAGTTCTCGAGAGAACTCTCTCAGCCCCACCTCCCTCACAGGGTGTCTGTTGTGAGGAGGGGAAGGGAAAGGAGTTTGTAAGCCGCTCTGAGACTCCTTTGGGTAGTGAAGGGCGGGGTATAAATCCAATCTCTTCTCTTCCGCCACATGCAGCTGCTGGTGTGACCTTGGGTCGGTCACAAGTTCTCTCAGAGCTGTTCTCCCAAGGGAAGTTCTCGGGAGAGCTCTCTCAGCCCCACCTACCTCACAGGGTGTCTGTTGTGGGGAGGGGAAGGGAAAGGAGTTTGTAAGCCGCTCTGAGACTCCTTTGGGTAGTGAAGGGTGGGGTATTCTCTTATCTACATCAGCAAGCTATGATTAGCTGCAGGAATTGAGTATACGTTTTGCACAGGGCAGCTCTTACCACGTTTGCCTACCCAACAGAGTAAACAAATCCCCTCTGTAATGTTTCACCTGTGGGGTTGGAGGAGAAAGGTCACACTCCAAGTCGATTGTTTATTTTGAGGGAGAGCTACTGCAGAGTTAAGGTCCCGTGGAGAGAGAACTTGGATTTGGCGGCCTGCGTAAACTATTGCTCTCTGAATGAAAGCGCTTTATTATATCCAATCGGAGGGAAGGATGGCGCTGGAGCCACGCCCCCTCTGCTCGTTGGACATTCTGTTCCTCCTCCAGCTTTCACCAGTCAGACCATTTGGAGTCTGGCTTTGGAACAGGGCAGCGTTTGGATGGAGGGACCTTTAACTTCCTGTGGAAGTTCCCGCTAGGCCATTGCCGACGCGGGCATGCGCCCCGTGGTGGACGAACGGGCCCATTGTCACCCCAGCCAGCATCCAAACTGAGCGGTCTCCTACAGCACTGCCAGTACCACTGAGGGGCAATAACTCACTCTTTTAATTTTTTTTTGTTTCAAAACCCTGGACGCCAAGCTTACCAGTTACCTAAATTTTGTGCCCAAGACCATTTGAAGACATCATCTTTGGCAGCCCGCAGAGTCCCAAGCATAAAGGAGCCAGTGCGATGTAGTGCTTAAGAGTTTTGGACTAGTACATAAGAACATAAAGAGAAGCCATGTTGGATCGGGCCAGTGGCCCGTCCAGCCCCACACTCTTGTGTCCCACAGTGGCCAAAACCCAGGGGCCATCAGGAGGTCCACCAGCGGGACCAGAACTCCAGAAGACCTCCCACTGTTGCCCCTCCCAAGCACCAAGAAGACAGAGCATCCCTACCCCAGACATAAGAACATAAGGGAAGCCATGTTGGATCAGGCCAGTGGCCCGTCCAGTCCAGCACTATGTGTGACACAGTGGCCAAAACCCAGGGGCCATCAGGAGGTCCACCAGTGGGACCAGAACTCCAGAAGCCCTCCCACTGTTGCCCCCCCCCCAAGCACCACGAATACAGAGCATCCCTGACCCAGACATAAGAACATAAGAGAAGCCATGTTGGACCAGGCCAGTGGCCCATCCAGTCCAATACTCTGGGTCACACAGTGGCCAAAACCCAGGTGCCATCAGGAGGTCCACCAGCGGGGCCAGAACTCCAGAAGCCCTCCCACTGTGCCCCCCCCAAGCACCAAGAAGACAGAGCATCACCGCCCCAGACATAAGAACATAAGAGCGGCCATGTTGGATCAGGCTAGTGGCCCGTCCAGTCCAACACTCTGTGTCACAATGGTCAAAACCCAGGTGCCATCAGGAGGTCCACCAGCGGGGCCAGAACTTCAGAAGACCTCCTCCTGTTGCCCTCCAAGCACCAAGAAGACAGAGCATCACCACCCCAGACAGAATGTTCTGTCTATACCTTGTGGCTAATAGCCACTCATGGACCTCTGCTCCATGTAAGAACATAAGAGAAGCCATGTTGGATCAAGCCAATGGCCTGTCCAGTCTGACACTCTGTGTCACACAGTGGCCAAAATCCAGGTGCCATCGGGAGGTCCACCAGTGGGGCGACCCTGATTTGAATCCCCAATCATGCCATGGAAGCCCGCAGGGTGACTGTGGGCCAGTCACATTCTTTCAGCCTTACCTACCTCACAGGGCTGTTGTG